TTGGGATTATTTATCAGTCAAAAGAGTTTTTGGCAAAGCAGGTAAATTAATTTTATTGTGTGTACATGTGTGTAACAAATTTGTATGTATAGAATTTGTTATTATTTTATTGTTATATTACTTTGATTCATTTAGACACTTATTCAAATGCTCTCGAAAAATTAGTTCATGCTGAAGAAACATCACATATAGATGATACTGGTATGTCATCCGATGAAAGGAGGCAACAAAGGAAAAAGATAAGACGAATGAAAGCAAAGAAAACTTGGTCATCTTCTTCTGAATATTCAGATAAAGATTTATATTTAGATAATGATAAAGAAAATCGTACAATTCAGCATAATAATGTTATAGTTAAGAAGGTGCCTGCTTATCCGAAATTAAAACATTTTGTATCAACTAGCCAAATGTTCAATCCGACTGACATATCTTTACAGAGGCCTCAAAATGTAATACAAAAATTAACTTCTGCTGATGTCATGAACATAACTGGTAAGCAATACATGATTTTAATTACATTATACGTGCAATTCATAATCAACATATAATATTTGAAATAATCACATTACAAATAATTTTTTTCTTCTTTAGATAAAAGTATCAATAGAACAATTGATATCCACGATAAGGGAGAACTTTTTATAGAGGAATGTACTGGGCACATCGAAAGACAAAATTTCTGCGGTATTTTATTTTATGGCTTTTAATGTATAACATTTTAATTAAAAATTATATATTAACTAATTTATTATTTTAAAATAAAAACACTAATGCACAACTTGCTACAAAGGACAGAGGACTTCTTACAGAAAAATACAGTACGAATATCGAGAAAAAGAATTTCTATGATATTTGATGTTTATATATGATTTTTAATATATAATATTTAAATTATAACATATATTTTGACTACTTTATTTATTTTTCAGATAAGAATACTAATAAAAATCTTGTGACAAACGATAAAGAACATCTTACGGAGAACTCTACTAGGAATATTGAGAGAGAAAATATTTTTGACAACGGTATTTTTAAATAAATATT